AAACTAAAGCTGAGCCTGGTTATATTAGGGATACAAGACCCCCTCCTAACCCCAAAAGACCTGAACTCTCACACGTGTATTCATGTACTTTATTTTTCCAGTATGAAGTCTCTTCCCACTTCTGATGTTTCACTTCTCTCTTCCTCTCCCTATTACACTTTCTCTGCACAGCTGCCAAAGAAGCAAACCCAATGGTGGCTGTCAAATTTTCAAACCTGTGACACTTGAGTGCAAAGTTAAGGAAAACAAGTTTGTCCATCCTCAATTTTCACTATTGTAAAGCAAGGGCGTAAGTCTTCCACCAGCTGTCCCAGTGATGTTTTGGTCTTGCTAGTCCAGGAGAAATGTTTGGGAACTGCTGCTGCTGTCATTAGAAGAGTTGAGCATCCAAAGTTGCCTTTTGCTCCCACAGGCAATAAGGGACAGGTGAGAAGTAACAGCACAAGAAGTGAAATGCGATTAGGGAAAACTCAAGGAAGCTCGCTTACTTTTGCTGCACAAGAGTCCTGTTCCCTCCTACTTCCCCACAACTAACTTCAAAATGAGGCTTATTATCTCCCCCCTTTTCTGTTTCACAATATTGCCAGGCCCCTAATGTAATGAGGATTGAAAATATAATAAATTTGGGGTTCTTTTGGCTTTTGAGTCATTAGGATTCACATTTTCAAGCTTTTCTCCATAAGCACAAGGACTAGGATTTTTTTCAAATGAAAGCTGAAATTCTCATGTAATCGCAAGACTACAGGTACCAAGACTTTTAAGAATACTACCAAATATCACTAAAGTTGGCAACATAGGTTTCGACACAATGTTTGAAACTGCTGGTATATTTCTGAGGAAGGACTAACTTGGTAAAGCAAAAGATGGAAGAGCAATGGAAAAAGGAAGGTTGGGGTAATTAGCCCTGCTGAAAGAATAAAAAATCTTGTGTAATTGCAGAGCCAACAAGACACTTAGAACCATATGTGGTCTGGTTCAAAGCTAACGTGTTGGTGTTCACTTACCTCCCCTCCAAATAGATTTCAGTCTGTCATGGAAGTGTTATAGATCACTTTGATCTCTTCATCAAAAGACATTTAAGTCTACTAGCACTATCATCCATTCGTCTCTCACTGAGACGGCCATCTTCTTGCTAAACAATTAGCTTACTATGTGTGAAGAATTTTGCGCTCCTGTTTCATGAATTTTTTACTTTTGTATTTAAGGGCAGAACCATTTTAAGGATATACTTTAATTTCTATTGTATACATTATGAACTTCAACACTCAACTTTTAGTATGTTGCACTTACTAGTTTTCTGAAACACCTTTCCCCCGCTCCAAATGTATATCTTTTCACTTGTTACTTCTTTAAAATTGTATTTATCCTTTCTAGCCTAAATCCAGTCAATTAGAACTTTGTTTTCCTTTTCATTACTGAAATCCTGTATCTATTGCAATTATGGCATCAACCTACTGACTTTTAAACTTGGAAAAAAACAAATAAATACAGCAATACTTGAAATATCCTACTTTCATTTATTTTTAAGGCCCGGAGGAACCGTTAGTTCATCTTATCTGACCTCCTGCATATCACTGACCAAAGATTTCACTCACTCACCTCTACTGAACCCAATAACTTGTGTGTGACTAAAGCACATCTTCCAGAACGGCATCCATTCTTGATTTGAAGACATCAAAGAGCAGAGAATCCACCACTTCCCTTGGTAGTTTGTTCAAATGGTTAACCTCCCTCACAGTTAAAAAAAAAAAAAATATCATGCCTTATTTCTAATTTGACTTTGGCTTCAGCTTGCTATGGCTTTCTCCTCTAGACTGAAGAGCCCTTTAGCGCTCAGTATTTTTCTTCCCATGAAGAGGAGGGTCAAGTCACCCGTTGATCTTTTTGACAAGCTAAACAGATAGAGCTCTTCAAGTCCTTCTCTGTAAGACTTTTTCAAATAATGTTTGTGGCTATTTTCTGCAGCCTCTCCAATTTTTCATCATCCTTTAAAAAAATGTTAACACCAGAATGCTACATAATATTCCAGTATTGGTCTCACCAATCCCATAGACAGAGGTAAAAAAATCACCACCCTCTTTCTCCTTATTACTCCCCTGTTTATTCAGAACTCGAATTTCACATCCCCAGTGGTTCCAAGGGTGGAAAGCCTGGATGTTTCTCATTAGTGAGCTATTTCGGGTGAGTGAGTGTGTGTATTAGAGCTAGAGGACTGTGATACATGATTGTATTCACAGTCAAGGGAAGCAGAAAGACTGACGCAGGAAATGGGCTAACTATCCCCTTTATAGGAACCAGCCTGGTTCTTGGTAAATAAAGCCATAAATTGTGTAAGCATTATTAGCGTAGCTGAGAAAAGAGGAGAACTACAAAACAAAAATAGTAATAAGTAGTTTCCCTTTTTATTTTGCATTACATTTGATTTCTAATGGAACTTAGCTTTCATGACTACTGTAACAATCTTTAAAAGTAAACTTTAAAATGCAAAAAGCAAAACAAAGTTAACAGTAAAAGGAAAATATTTTGAAAATTAGGTGGTTTTAAAACTAATACAGATAGGAGAAAAATCAGAACTCTACTAGACCATTGCAAAAAGGAAATGACACAATTCTAAAACACCATAAGGCTGCACAATAGAACAGATCTTTACAAATTCTAAATATATTGGTGATTAGTGCTTGAAGAGCCTTAAAATGGCAGTAATAGGATTTTCAATCTGAATCTCAAATTCAGTTGCAATCAATGAAACTGAATTGGCAGAGGGATAGAATAACATGGAAGGGACAATTAGATGAGAAGCAGAATTTTAAATAGATTGTAAGCATTGGATAAAAGTGGCTGACTGCTTAGTAAGGAGAGTTATGACAACAGGAATTTAGTAATATATGAAAAAGAGTTTGACTTACAATAAACAGTGATATAATATTTTTAAATTAATATATGATAAAACCATCATGAATGCAAGTTAGATTGAGAAATCTACATTTTATGTTGAAAGTTCAACCTTAACTCAACTCTGTTGTGCTTATGCCTTAAAACATGGTCTCTTTATATTATAAAGGATTTGTGAAATACAAAACAGTAACTCCTTACTTAACATCCTCCTGCTTAACGTTGTTTCAAAGTTATATCACTGCTCCATTAGGGAACATGCTCGTTTAAAGTTGTGCAAAGCTCCCTTATAACGTTGTTTGGCTGCCTGCTCTGTCCACTGCTTGTAAGATTCTGTGGAAGAACAGCAACTTTACAAGGGAGCATTGCACAAGTTCCTCTTCTCCACCTCCTCCCCCTCCCTCCCAGCACTTGGAGGGGGAGGAGCAGGGGCGTGGGCATGCTCCGGAGATGAGGTGAAGTGGGGGGTGGGAAGAGGTGGGCCTGGAGTGGAGCAGGGACGGGAAGAGTTGGGCCTAGAGCATCCCACCGCAAAGTCGGCGCCTGTTCTTCTCAGGGGAAGCTGCTGCTGCTGTTGCGCACGGTGCTTCCTAGTGTCCTCGCCTGCAGCGGGCTGTGCCTGTGTGGGGTAAGCTAGGGCACTTCCCAACCACAGTACAGCACAATAACGTACAGTATATAATGTCTTTTGTCTGCCCCCAAAAAATTTCCATGGAACCTAATCCCCCGCATTTACATTAAATCTTATGGGGAAAATTGGATTAATTTAACATCGTTTCACTTAAAGTTGCATTTTTCAGGAACATAACTACAATGTTAAGTGAGGAGTTACTGTATCTAAAATAAACTGAAGGTTGTATGTAACCTGACCTACAATAAGTACCTGCAGTCCTCCAATTTGGCTTTATTTTGCAATCAGTGACAGCTACTGAACAAGAGAATCTGTTTAATAGTTTTAAATATTTTAAACCTCACTTACTTTGAATCAGTTTAAAAGACTACTTGTAAAAAAGTTTAAGCTTGATAACTAAGCTTTAAAACTACTGAGCTAATTTTCTTTAAAAAAATAGCTTGCCATGAATTCTAAGGCACCTGGCACCTTTAAGTTAGAATTTTATAGCTAAAGCAATTTCAGAAGTAGCTCCAGATTACCTAGAGGTGGTCTGCATATCACCAATTGACTACAGTTTTAAAACACTTGTTTGGTTAGAGGCATGGAAAGTGCCAGCATGTCCCCTAAAATCCCATAGAGTGCTTTGAAAATTTTACGCAAAGGGTGTCAGTGACTGGAGATGGAAAAAAAAAAAAAAGAAAACACCACATACATAAATTTCTCACTTTTTCTGAAAATCAGAAATCTTAAGTGGATTAATAGGAATTTTAGGGATCTAGAATTTTATGGAAGTTCTTCTGAGTGGGTTTTTCTGGGAAAATGGATGGTCTTATTGTTAAGGCACCATACTGGGAGTTAGATGATCAGGGTTCAAAGCCCAGCTTTGCCACAGACTTACAGTGTGACACTGGCCAAGTCACTTAATCTCTATCTCAGTTACCATCTATAAAATGGGGGTAATTCTACCTTTCTAACCTGCGGCAGTGGGGAAAGCATAAATTCATTAATGTTTGGGAGTGACTCAGATATTATGGTGATGGGGGGTGGAGGGGCATATGTATTTAGATTGATAGACCCACCTCAACAGGGCCTGTCTTTAGCAAGCAAATCAGAGTGTTGTGCAGGAATCACTCTATGAAGAGGAATAACTGCTTCCCTTCTAATTGGATCATCATCTTTATTGTGTCCCCCCCCCATCACTACCCTTATTCTCAACCTATTTCCAAAACTGTAAATTCTTTCTTAGATGGTAAGCTCCTTGGTGTTGTGACAGCAAGTCCTTATGCTGTTGCACAGGGCCTATCAGAATAGAAACACTGATCCTGATTGTGGCGCTGGGTGCTACTATTATATATATATAATAAAAAACAGAGAAGCTGAATAGAAAATGTACTGAAGTGGAGGGAGGGGGGAGAGAGAGAGGTTTTCTAAAAAATTAACACCAGGCTACTTCAGATGACAACTTGCTTCCTAAATAATAAAGAAGACACTAAGGTCAAGCAATACAGTCATTTATTTATTGACTGAAACAAACAAAAGTATCCCCAGACATAATGGCCACCACTTCAGCAATACAAATAAATGTTACTGAACAGGGAACATTCCTTTCTCACCTTCCCACCCCCACAAACAACAATAGAAATACTAGAGTTCCAGAAGAGGATAAAGAGAAAACTATCAAAGGCGCTTATAATGAGCTGAAGAGCTGTAATGTATAGGTACTAAAGATCATTAGCTAATTTACCACCACCACAAGCCCCTCAAAAATACTTTAATTGTTCCATCTCTATCACATACCAAGTATAGTGCTGTTTAACAGCAATTGCACTACATTTACAACTGTCCTCTGCTGAAGCAGAACAGCAATTACTATTTTATGTTAAATTTGGGGCTGTAGATAGAAACAAGAGTTCCATGTAATAAGCTGCTGAAATTAAAAACTCCTGTATTAGATGAAGGGGGGGAAGAGGGGCAGGGAGAGAGGAAGCAAAGCTGCTCCTGAATGCCTTTCAGTTACTGTACATTTGCTTCAATCAAGCAATTCATTCTGTTTTGGTATCTCACTGTATGTTATACTGGTACAGTAATACAAAGTCTATTCAACTGTGATAGTAAATACGAATACACTGGTTCATATTGAGAAGGCCATTAATATGTGGACCATTGAAAATCTTGACCTGTTACTCATATGTGGACATTTAAATATGTTTATCAGAGACCAGCAAAAAGCATCAAACGTAGTGCATGCAGAACACAATAGTTGCTAAACCATTTAGTCTTCCACACAATAGTTAAAAAATGAGTCAGGCATTCCTCAGATTTAGAGAAAACATTAGGAGGCTGTAGATTTGCAGGCAAGGAGACCTTTTATTTTAATCCATTAATAGAACCCAAAATAGTCAGCAGGTGGCCACATCTATCCATGTTTCATTAAAATCACATAAACCCTAAGTACAAAAGCACCACTGATTATTGCTCTAGAAAACTGCATGAAAAATTCAAATACACACAGTAAAAACCATCACCATATGCACAAGACTTAATTTCTTAAAGCAAGTGTATGGAATGCTGATCCAATTTGACACACATCTTCCAACGCTAAGTTGATATTTATATTACTTGGCAGCAATGGGAATTTCTAAGAGCATGGTTATGAGAAGGGATATGTTCCTATATAGTTTAATATGTCAACTATCATCGTCCTAAAAAAATTAGCATTTACAAAATACTTGATAAAAATATCTTTTAAAAGTTGTCCAAGAGGTACATAAAATCAACCCAAAATTTTCATGACAATTCATTGGCTCTTGTCACCTACAGATTCAGTTCTCTGTGCCTGCGAAGGGGAAGGGAAACAAAAAACAACAATTACTATAAAAAGTTACTGCTCCATGTATAAAAAAAGCCCCCACACTAGCACCTTCTCCTTTGATGCATTATTTGCAACTGCTCAGTTTCAAACTATTTCAGTATTATGTTTACAGACACAACAGGTACACACACACTTGTCTTCATTTATTGATCCCTGCTTTTCAAAAGCCATAGAAGCCTTACCTGCCAGCTTCCATTGTTCATAATGAAAAGCACCACACTACTATCTGTTTCTATTCACTGCACACATGCAGAATGCTCTACCGTACCCTTAACTTTCACTGTTTCAATCTGCCCTTTTACTGACAGTGTGCTGGGTGGGGCACCTCTGGATGTTGAAACACTAACAGTTGAGCGAGAGATGCGAATCTGCAATAACATTATGGGCAATAAAAAGAAACATTATGAACATGCTATCAATGGCTGAAAGATTGAATAATTTTTTAAAAACACTGATTCAATCAGTGGGAGGTCTGTGTGGAAAGTACCTCTTCAGCTTTATTTTCACCATTTTCAGATGGTGTAGTACCTTCCTTTGCAGCTTCTTGTTTTTCATCCTTCTTTCCTTTAGCACCTTTGTTAGCCTTTGTTCCAGGTTCCTTCTGATAGAGGATCAAAAACATGGAGAGAGTGTGCATTAGAAGTTGTTGGATCCTTGTTACTATCTATGAACTATCTACTGCATGAGTAAGTTGTGTGTGACAAATTAGTACAAAATGTCAGCTACCTCTCTAAAGATGATCTGGAATGGTTTTACCCGGAAGTGCCAAAGTTGAGGGTTCTAAAGCTCCCCTGCAACTGCTGCCATCACTAGCAAAATTTAACTGAGACTCTATTGTTTCTCTTAATTTTCAGGGATTTAAAAAATTACTCTAGTAGAATAAGAAAACAGTCCATATATCATATAAAAACAAACCAGGATGGACATACATATCAGAACAAGTACTGTCTATTAAAGTCGTATACAGTCAAGCACATTAATTGGACCAGAATCACAGCTGAAGTGATGGCACAGCACTTTTGGATTCAATGGAAATGCACCAACTTACACTGGCTGAGGAACTAGCCCCCCGTGTCTTAAGGATATTAGAGAACAAAAATTAAGTAATTTTTGCTATTTTAGGCTTGCATGTTTCTCTTTGGAAAGAACACCCCAGATGGTAGGGGAAGTAGAAGTGGGTGGCAACCTAGGCAGCAGTGACCATGAGATGGTTGAGTTCAGGATCCTCACAAAAGGAAGAAAGGAGAATAGCAAAAATACGGACCCTGAACTTCAGAAAAGCAGACTTAGACTCCCTTAGGGAACTGATGGGCAGGATCCCCTGGGACGCTAATATGAGGGGAAAGGAGTCCAGGAGAGCTGGCTATATTTTAAAGAAGCCTTATTGAGGGCGCAGGAACAATCCATCCCGATGTGCAGAAAGAACAGCAAATATGGCAGGCGACCAGCTTGGCTTAACAGAGAAATCTTCAGTGAGCTTAAACACAAAAAGGAAGCTTACAAGAAGTGGAAATTTGGACAGATGACTAGGGAGGAGTATAAAAATATTGCTAGAGCATGCAGGGATGTAATCAGGAAGGTAAAGGCACAATTGGGGTTGCAGCTAGGAAGGGATGTGAAGGGTAACAAGAAGGGTTTCTACAGGTATGTTAGAAACAAGAAGGTCAGAGAAAGTGTGGGACCCTTACTGAATGGGGGAGGCAACCGTGTGACAGATGATGTGGAAAAAGCTGAAGTACTTAATGCTTTTATTGCCTCGTCTTCACAGACAAGGTCAGCTCCCAGACTGCTGCACTGGGCAACATGGTATGGGGACGAGGTGAGCAGCCCTAGTGGTGAAAGAACAGGTTAAGGACTATTTAGAAAAGCTGGACATGCACAAGTCCATGGGTGCAGATCTAATGCATCCAAGGGTGCTGAGGGAGTTGGCTGTTGTGATTGCAGAGCCATTGGCCATTATCTTTGAAAATTTGTGGCGATCAGGGAAGGTCCCAGATGATTGGAAAAAGGCAAATATAGTGCCCATATTTAAAAAAGGGAAGAAAGAGATCCCAGGGAACTATAGACAGGTCAGCATCACTTCAGTCCCCGGCAAAATCATGGAACAGGTCCTCCAGGAATCTATTTTGAAGCACTTGGAGGAGAGGAAGGTGATCAGGAACAGTCAACATAGATTCACTAAGGGCAAGTCATGCCTGACCTGATTGCCTTCTATGATGCGATAACTGGCTCTGTGGATATGGGGGAAGTGGTAGATGATATATATCTTGACTTTAGCAAAACTTTTGATATGGTCTCCCACAGTATTCTTGCCAGCAAGTTAAAGAAGTATGGATTGGATGAATGGACTATAAACTGGTTAGAAAGCTGGCTATATTGTCGGGCTCAACAGGTAGTGATTAACGGCTTGATGTCTAGTTGGCAGCTGGTATCAAGCGGAGTGCCCCAGGGGTCAGTCTTGGGGCCGGTTTTGTTCAACGTCTTTATTAATAATCTGGATGATGGGATGAATTGTACCCTCACCAAATTCGCAGATGACACTAAGCTGGGGGGAAAGGTAGATACACTGGAGGGTAGGGATAGGGTCCAGAGTGACCTAGACAAATTGGAGGATTGGGCCAAAAGAAATCTGAGGAGGTTCAACAAGGACAAGTGCAGAGTCCTGCACTTAGGAAGGAAGAATCCCCTGCACTGCTACAGACTGGAGACTGACTGGCTAAGCAGCAGTTCAGCAGAAAAGGACCTGGGGATTACACTGGACGAGAAGCTGGATATGAGTCAGCAGTGTGCCCTTATTGCCAAGAAGGCCAATGGCATATTGGGCTGTATTAGTAGGAGCACTGCCAGCAGATCGAGAGAAGTGATTATTCCCCTCTATTTGGCACTGGTGAGGCCACACCTGGAGTACTGCGTCCAAGTTTGGTCTCCCCACTACAGAAAGGATGTGGACAAATTGGAGAGAGTCCAGCAGAGGGCAATGAAAATGATTAGGGGTCTGGGGCACATGACTTACGAGGAGAGGCTGAGGGAACTGGGCTTATTTAGTCTGCAGAAGAGAAGGGTGAGGGAGGATTTGATAGCAGCCTTCAACTACGTGAAGAGGGGTTCCAAAGAAATGGAGCTAGGCTGTTCTCAGTGGTGGCAGATGACAGAACAAGAAGCAATGGTCTAGAGTTGCAGTGGGGGAGGTCTAAGTTGGATATTAGGAAATACTATTTCACTAGGAGGGTGGTGAAGCACTGGAATGGGTTACCTAGGGAGGTGGTGGAATCTCCATACTTAGAGGTTTTTAAGGCCTGGCTTGACAAAGCCCTGGCTTGGATGATTTAGTTAGTGTTGGTCCTGCTTTGAGCAGGGGGTAGGACTAGATGACCTCCTGAGGTCTCTTCCAACCCTAATATTCTATGATTATATGTTAATGAACCAATATCCTAGAATGGTCACACAGGGAATTTCACCAGTCAGCAGTAATAGAAAGGCAAGAAGCTATGAACAGAAACCCAATTGGGGGTGGGGGGAAGTTACATTATCATCTGGAGATTTATTGTTGTTAGATAGAGGAAAAATGGGCTAAGACTGATTATTTTTGTATCTGTTCTATCCGCTCCATGTGTTCCAGACCCACTTAAGAGTACCTGTCAAGACCTGCAATACCAGCAGCGGCCTATGCTTAGCTACCCAATTTTGTAAAGACTTTATGGGGTTACAAAGGTAAGGTTGAGGATTTGGCATTGGGTGTTGAGATTGATCCTGATAAACAACATTTAGAAGGAGATGTTCCATGCTCCCCACTTTTCTGCTCCTCCCTCCCCCCACAAAAAAGAGTCAACTATTACTGTCAACTGATATATTAAGATCAAGCTTCCTTCCATTTATCTACATAGTAACTACTTTCTGAGTTTTAATTTTTAGAAAGAATGTATACATTCTAGGTAAGTCTTCACATTAAAAAAGGGACAGTTAAGTATTTGAGTTTGTAAAACTGTTATATGTTAGCTTTGAACACTAAAAATTACCATATCTGAAATTACTTACAACATAATGTTAATCAGAAATTTCTTATTAGTTGATCAAAGTATAAGCTTGCTCATTTTGTGTAAGACTTGCTCAACTCTATCAAAACCAAATTTAATCCCAGTCCTTAAATGTAATCAAATTATAGTTTGGGGAATCAGGTGGTTGTTAAAAAAAAAAAAAAAAAAAAAAAAACACCCCAGCATATTAAATTAGTTCTTATTAAAGAATCAAGTCCTGGAAATATGCCTCAAATATGTCCTCTTTTGTTAAGGACATATATTGAAGCTACATTTTTATTACTTGTACTGAAAAAGATAAAACCTACCACATTCCCTTCTTTAATAAGCTCCTCCCTCCTTTTTTATATAAACCTCTTTCCCTCAAACTATAACAATCGCATTTTGAGAGAACATGATAATCTTAACATTATTTAGTCAGTAATATCAGATATGATAGGTTTACACCCAAAATGTGCCAAGTCACAGAATCAGAAACTCATATACTTGATCTTAAGATTCTAATACAGGGATTGGCAACCTTTGGCACACGGCTCGCCAGGGTAAGCACCCTGGCGGGCCGGGCCGGTTTGTTTACCTGCCGTGTCCGCTGGTTCGGCCGATCGCGGCTCCCACTGGCCGCAGTTCGCCGTCCCAGGCCAATGGGGGCTGCGGGAAGCGGCACGGGCTGAGGGATGTGCTGGCTGCTGCTTCCCAGCGCCCCCATTGGCCTGGGACAGCGAACCACGGCCAGTGGGAGCCGTGATCGGCCAAACCTGCGGATGCGGCAGGTAAACAAATCGGCCCAGCCTGCCAGGGTGCTAACCCTGGTGAGCCGCGTGCCAAAGGTTGCCGATCCCTGTTCTAATACTTGTCAAGCAGATATATACACTGGGGAGGGCTAAAACAGTTTCCCCCCCAAAAAATGGTTTTTCTGGTACAACAATTGTTATTATTTTGCATCTTCCTTGGGCCCCAATAAATCTGTTTTCTGAAGTACATTTCTAGAACTTCTCTTAATAGTGTCTGAAACTATTTTGACTGTATTTGGCCTAGAAAGTAAACACCACCTCATTTAGCCATATCTTTAATTCTACCTTTAGTTGTAATCAGCATCCTTGGCAATCATTGCATTTTCGTAAGAAAAATATGTATAAGACAAGAGCGTCTCACTAATGGGGGGTGTACTGTCCATTTAGTCAAGCAGGGAGGGCAGAGCTGAAAAAGCTGACACACTAGTGTGGGAAATGCTAGGTCCCAGGTTGGTAGCAGAGCCACCTTGATCAACCGTGCAAGTGCAGGAAAGGTGAGCTCCATCTCTGGGGAAGGAAAAGATGTTGCTACAGTGAATAGCTATGCTTAGGAAGCAAAAGTATGCGGCTGACAGACTATGCATTGCAGGCAGACAGCAATACATTTAAATTGGGGCAGGTGTGTGTGTGTGTGTGTGTGTGTGTGTGTGTGTGTGTGTGTGTGTGTGTGTGTGTGTGTGTGTGTGTGTGTGTGTTTTGCTTTTAAAGATAAAACATGAAAAAAATGTGGATGCTTCAGAAGTTGTCCATGAACATTTGAAGCAGATTGAAATATGCAATGCAAAAACAAAAGTGCATGATTATTTGGTTATAGTGATTTAAATTACAGGAATTTTACCTTTGTGGTTTTCCTTGGTTTGGGTTCAGGTTTTGGTGGAGCAGGTTTCTATAAAACATTTCCAGTTACAAAATATATTAGATAATTCACTACCTGCTTCCCACTCCCACCTTTTCTTTGCTTCCTAGTGTGCACCTCTTAAAAGACCAGAAAAGTTTCATGTTCAGATATACCTCAACTGACACCACAGACTAAGCTAGCCTGTATCTATTGGCTCACCACATGCAGGAGTGAAAGTAATTTTGGAGTCATTTTAAGAGTCCATGAGGGAGTTTGGTGTGAACCATTAACAAAAGCCCACCCTCCCCTTTAGCCTATCTGTAACAGAGAGCTTGGGCTATCTAATGTGACATTGCTAGAAGGTTCTTCCTCCTCCATTCCTCCTGAAGTGGGCTATTTATTAATTATTGTTTTTAATATATGAACACACATATGTCAAGCAAATATACTGGAAAGAAGAAGGGAGATTTTCCCCCTCCCACTTGTCCTTCTACCCATATCTAACAAAGAAAAATAACCAAAAAGTATCAAAAATATCAAATCCAGCCCTGCTACAGTGGCCCCGAGTCTTTCACAGAGGAAGATGCATCTTCACAACCAGCATCTGTTGACCTATCAGGAGATGGCACTTCTGGAAGTGCCAAGTCACATTTTGTGTGCAACAGGCATACCAGTGAAAGAAAAGAACACAGTTCTTTTTAGGAGACTGTGTGCCTTTGGTTATATTAAAATAAACATCCTTCCCTCCGGAGAGCTTTAATGCTCTTCAAGAATAAATGAATCAAACAAAATATGACATTCTGTTTGCTTGGCATGAGAAAGCATATGCCTAGGAAGGTGTACACCAACAGCTCTTAGGAATACTTACAGCTGACAATCTTGCCGATCGTCTTGTGGGCTATAAAAAGGGGAAAAAATGTTGGTAGGCTTTCAGCAGATCATAGTCAAACCATGTCACTCATTCATTTGATGATAACTTAAAATATACCACTAGGACAACAAAAGTCCTTACTGCCAAATACACATAAAGGGTGCCGCCTCCACTGGATTTTTCGAGTTTTAAAGAGACATAGTGAACTTGAAATCCAGCTGCTAACAAAAAAAAAAAAAGTTCAGAAGTTTCAGTGACTACAAATATTGACAGATTTTGGAGCAAGTGCAGTTTTACAATAACAGTGACCTATTTTATAAGTGTTTATCTCACCCTTGTTGCTGTGTGAAAGGCCTATGCAAACAGGAGAGAATGACTGGCTACACATCGGAAACAGTGAAACTGATTCTACATAGGACTGTCAAAAGCACAAAGCAAGTGAACTGAAATATTGAGGAAAAGAGTGTTTCTTTAATCTCTTAGCTGTTACTTTTAACACTGTGTAAAAATATTTTCTGACAGAAATGCAAGTTAAGTTGATGTGTCCCATAGTACAGTGCTGATATTTAAAAGAAGTAAATTAAGGCCCAATCCTGCAGCTGATATCATGCGGGTACAGGAGTCCACCTGCACAGAGCCAGTTGCAGAAGCAGAGGGTAAGCATTTGACTGTTTTTCCACTTAAAGAAAATTATTAAGGGAAAAATAAGAGATGTGAACTCCCCTCCCCACCCACAAATAAAATTAAATGTCTCTACTTTTTTCATAAGTCAAGTGTGGAAGATGAGAAAGTCTGGGAAATATTATTTAAAAACACGTTATCTTGTTCTCCACTCCCAGGCCCCTGAATACATTACAACTAGAGATGAGTGAATGAAGCTGGCTACAGAGCATGACTAAAGAGATCATGTATATTAAAAACTGGAACTGGGTTGTAACAGGGTCAGGACATAACCATGTAACTAGTCCCCGACTCAGCTCTATTTGTACTGTTTTGGCCAAGGCTTTGTCTTGGTTAAAAAAAAAACAAAAACATATAAAATTTGGTATATGCTACAAAATTGGAACCATGTTTACATTCAGTTGTCCCTTTACCTGATTTGTAACCCATCCCCCAACAAAACAGAACCTAAAGATGAACTGAAAGGCTTAAAAAAACAAAAACAAAAAAAACCTCCACCACCTGAAAAACGTGTGTCAAAGGTTCTGCATTTCTCCTGCAACAGATGAGGCCATCAACACCTGAGGAGTACAGCCAGCCATGTTCCATGTAATGATTTTAATGTCCCTTACTAGTAAACACCTACAGGGTAAATAAAATCTTGAACTTGGTCTTGGCAGGAGGAAGGTTTTGTCCAAGAAAAAAACAAAACAAAACAAAAAAACTGATTTTCAGCTGTCTAGTATTTATACATCATTCTAAAATCCATATGTCTCTTCTCTTAGTGATTTGGGATATCTATTTGTTGAGCACTATCAGTTTTCACAGCACCACTGCTAAACAGATTAAAAAGACAGCATTTCAATTAGTTTGTAAGTACAGCATTGTAGATCCCGTGTACCCCAAGTCCCAGCTTAAACCTACATTTACATCCCCTGGTTCTCTAGAAGGCAATTGAACAATAGAAGGTACAGATAAGACAGCACTCTTCTAAATCACAATGATTAAAAAAAAAAAAAAAACCAGAGAGAGAGACTACAACAGCTTTGGTCATGTAGTAGAGGGTTTTACTCATTGATCTGCTTCACTTAAGGGTTTGCACTGACATCAGGAGCACAGTGAGTTAAACACAATTCTTTAAAAATCCCTGAGTGGAGAGGGTAGGTTGTTTAACTCTCTTGTCCCATTTTACCTAGAAGCTATGCTAGCTGATTGCATCTCAGTCCTTATAGGTAACAGAAGTTACATACAGAGAGCTATAATGCCCTTGTGAACAAAGCCATCATATCTATTCTTGACTCCATGTCCACGATGGGTGTTCTTGTGTTTGAGCGAGAACAGGCTCTTTTGAAACAGTTTAGAAACCTTGCAGGCACTACTAGTTAGAAGCTAGAAACGTTCATTCTTTATACTGGTATCCAATGGAGATCAATGATATCTGTCAAATCTTTTGGGGTGAGGGAGGGGAACCTTAGGACTGCTCTCCTTCAAAATTATTTTATTTTGAGGAAACAGTATTTAAACATGGATACAGGAGAAGAATCTGTATTGTTTTACGCGAAGTAAGTCACATTAAAAGTTTAATACTTGCCTAAGGTATTCTTTTTAGCCTGCCTTTGTAATAACAATATTGTATAAGATATAATAGAAACTACATAAAACTCTAAACTGTACTAATTTGTGCAATCATATGCTTCTCTTCTTAATCTTCTAGGAAATGTCACAGGACGACATTGCTACTAAGAAGCTAAAAACCAAGACGCCCTTTTCCAAAGAGCTCATTTATTCCTTCAAGGGGTTATGACTGAATCTTGCTATTGTTTTGCCCCTTCCACTGCATCATTTTTTTTTCCTAAATGACTGAGCCTCAAGTCAGCTTCCTTGTCTTGGCTCACTAATTTTTACATTTTCTGGAGACCTATAATTTATGTTCTTACTCATGTTTTCAGTTCAAATATGCCCTTTGGAGAATGTTCATAACTTTAAAATAGAGGAAATTCACTGTTAATTCACCTGAATGTTCATTCAGTTTTTGAAATCAAAGCAGTGAACTTCCTTACTGGATTTAAAAGAAGGGGGGGGGGGGGAGAAGCTAAATTCCCATGGCATTAGGATTCAGGATCCTTCCCCATGGACTAACGTGCTACTGGAAAATGCCTCACGTAGCAATGCATCCTCTGATTCTTCAATGCCAAAGGATTAAATTTTACCAAGTAAACCAAATCTGTGGTACATTTGCAGTTTTAACACCAATACCATAATTCCCATAAAAACCCCTCATCATAAGTGGATCTCTATGAAGCAACAAATACTATTTAGTCTTGTAAAACTGGGAATCTCCAATTTAATAATTAAAACTACAATAGATGAAAAACAGGAGTTATACTTGCCTCTTGTTTAGTTATTTTTGCTGCATCCTTGCCCTCAGCACCCTCTGGAGACTGAAGAGAAAATATTGAATAAAGTCAGCTATTTTATTATGCATCTATAAAAAAAAAGCATTGGGGTTATGACAAAACCTGGATTAAAATAAAATTACCGGTCTATATGCCACAATAACTGAATTCCCCTTGAAAAGAGATGTTTGTCAGACTTACAAGTTAGGGCTTGCAAACCAAACACTATCAAGTAAAATCATTCTAGATTTCCCAAGGAAGAAACACAGGACTGATTATCAGCAAAAGCTGGGACTGCTACAGAGCAGCACATCAGCTCCCTAGCAGCAAGTAGGTAGGCAACACCTTGCATCACACAGTGACAATCCCAGCCAATTAACAAAAAACATCCACAGGCTCCAATGGGAGTACGAGCTAGTCAACAGTTGGTAGAATAATGGTTTGAAGTGAAGCCCTGAGGTTTGCTCTCACAGGGATTTTGAGAACCCCTGGGAAATTTAACTCTCCTCCTCCCACACATACACTCCACTAGTAATTAAGCAATATCAAGCCATAAAACACAAATATATTGAAATGAGTTGAAAAAGTTAAATTCAGTCTTCTTATGCCTCAGATTCAGCTTTCATTATTGCTTAACCTCCCTCATAGCCTCCATCAAAATAGTTCAAGTCAGGTTTGCTCCTGCTTACTCTTACCTACGTCATCTAAAAAGGTACAGACGAGCTTACTCCATTTAATTATAAGCCCACTTACAGTTAAATCAGGTCTCTGTTATGTCAATTATTAACTATTATGTTTATGGGCCTACACAACAACACTTCAGGGCAGGGACTCTCTCATCTTCAAAGTTTGAAGTGCTTACAATCTAAACAGATAATCCAATGAAAAGTGACTAACAGTATTTTGCAGTCAGGAAGGAAGGAAGAGGTCTATGGAAGGGGAAGAGAACACAGCTTTGAGGAGAGCATTTTTTTTTTAAAATAAGAGCCGATAGTTCAGTTTTACATATTTTTTCTTTGTTTTCTCTGATCAGGTACAAGAGCAGGAGTAGATAGGAATGTAGTGGCGATCAGTAGTGGAAAGGTAATCAAAAGAAACTGATTTTGAGAAGGGATTTGAGGGAGTAGAACAATGTTGCTTGGGGCACAGAAGAAAAGAGGCTAATTTGCTACACAGAGTTGCCTTCTTCTGTAACTCTGTAGGGTTATTGGACTGTGAATTGCTTATAGAAAGGGTGCTAAGAATTTGTGCCCTACCAGCAGGGTATGGATGGATAATGAATGTGACTTCGTAGTTGTAACATACAACCTCCTGATAGAAAGAGAAGGTGCCACAATAGCAGGTCATAAAAAGATAACTACGGCCAGTAATTTAAATGACTGAGAAATTGCAAGAAATTAAGCAGCACTACACAGGACAGAGCTAGGAAAACCCACAAAATCAAACTTTTAAAATGGAACTTGGCCATTTCTCTCAGCAACTATGGCCGTCACCAACCCATGACAGTGGGGTTCTGAGGTAGTTTCAAGACTTTCAGAAAATGGATGGTGATCTCTGTAATCACAAAAACAGTTGTCAGATGCCATTCTTTGGGTGAGAGCTCAGAAGCAAAAACACCCTACCATAAGCAATTTGCAGCAGATTCTCATTTACATGAAGACTGTTTCACATAGCTCAGGCTTTAGACTAATGAGCCTTTGTGTAATTGAGAATTAGGCCCATTATATACTGTATGGGAGATAAAGTGGGATGTCCCTTGCTCTATTTCTTATAGACTGTTACAGCAGCCTTTAACCTCCTTTTTGTTAAGCTAAACACATTTTAATAATGGGCTCTTCAATCTAACAGAGAAATATACAATACAATCTAATGGTTGGAAGTTGAAACTAGACAAATTCAGAGACTTTCCGTAAGTTGTACTTTTTTAAACAGTGACAATAATTAACCATTGGACCAATTTACCAAGGGTCACGGTGGATTTTCCATCACTGACAATTTTTAAATCCTGTTCAGATCTTTTTCTAAGATATGCTCTAGGAATTATTTTGGGTAAATTATATGGCCTGTATTATATAGAAGGTCAGACTAGGTAATCACAATGGTCGTCTCTAGCTTTGAGAGCCATGAAATATATATATATATTAACAGTATCACAATCCATATATTGACTTATCTTGACAAAACATTTAAATTGTATGTGTGAGGGTTTTTTTGAAGCTTACTCCATTTTGTCTCTATCTTAAAATGTTCTTCATGCAGTCCCATCTGACAGTGTCTTGGCAAGTAGTGTACTTCAATTAAAATAGTTTATTATCCACTTGTTACCCTAAAATATATAGTTTTTTAAAAGTTAGAACATTTCAGGGGCCAAACAATCCAGTCTTTTTTTTAGCATGTATGGAGTGAAATAGACACAAATAAGCTTGGAGGTGTGGTAGGTGGAGGAGAAAGAGAAGCTCAGTGTCATAATCCCCATCCAAACCCAACTGCTCCCCAAAGCAACACAAGTTTAGAGTACCTGGCAAGCAGTAAGCCAAGCAGAAAAAGACAGCTTTATGCAGCATTACCTCCACAAGAGAGCTTTGGGCATAAGTAGACCCAACAGGAGCATAACTTCCAGTGAACTACATGGCATGAGCAGCAGTTCTCTACCTGGAAATCCCAAGATTCACATGACTTCCCCCTGGAAATCATCACAGGCTTGAAGGACCTTGTCCTGACCCCTTCCACAGAGAGCTAACATTCCTCGACTTCCCACTGTGATGTCATGCCACCTAAGGAACTGATTTCAAAGTAGCTGAGTTTATTAAATAACTCATCCTCTCCCACAGGTTTTTTCCACGAGGTAATGCTATGGCTCACAGTATTTAACATGACACTGTCACCTGTCAAGTTGCACTGCATCCTTGCTATGTCTGTCTTGCTTACATTGTAAAAACTCTTCAGAGAAGAGACCACTTGCATCACAAGTCTTGTATAGCACCAAGCATACTGTTGGCATTGAATCATTCAAAAGGCAGTGCTACAACCTAGATAAGCTTTCTAACTGTATGGCAGTTCTTCAGATTACTTGTATCATCATCATTACAGTAGCATCTACAGGCCCATTGTGCTGTACAAACACATAAAAAGAAGAGTTCTCTCTTTGGGGCAGACCTGAAGAATAAGGTGACAGACAACAGGTGATTACAAAAACCACCACCAAATAATGAGAGGACTACTATTAATGTCATAAGCAATGGTCACAGCAAACCAGCTGCCCGGCCAGCAAGGCTTATGCTATCAATATTGTAACTAATGGTAAATTTTAGGCTCAGCAGACCACAGATATGTATTGTACCTTAAGTGTCATTGCAGATTCGGTGTCTGGATTATCAGATTTGTGAGCTCACAGTTTTGTAAATTAAGCAGCAATTAAACTTTAGACGATCAATCAGATCCACATATTTTGTATCTCTGGGTTAACCAGGATGGCTGTGTACACACTCCCTGTGCCCATCAGTGATGAGGAAGAGCTTTTTAAAAAGTGACAGGTTAAAAAAAAAATCAGGTTTTTTGATGAACAGTGGATTATAAAACCAAGCTTATTTATTTGTATGTGCTTAATTTTTGCATTTCACTCATTTTGGAGAATGAGCAGCGACCCCCTAGTTGATCTCACTTTCTAGTCCTCATACATTAGCACAATACTATGGCGTTTGGGTTGCCAATGCTACAGGGGAAATCATTAAATTGAAAAAATTAAAGACAATTTTCATATTTTTAAAGAGTTATCTGACAGAGGTGGCTATAGGTTGACAAATTGACAAAACTTTAACTTTAGTAATTAAAATGCTGAAATATAAACCGGATGTACCTTAAGTAAAATAATGCAACAACATTAGCAAGGTTACCATTTATCTGTCAGATGGCAATCAATCAATTTAGATGGCCAAAGGGGGTTATAGTATCCCAGCACTGCAACTTCTGCACAGATATTTATGTTTACAGGTGAATGGATTTATTTTATTTTAGTAATGTAAGCAATGTATTAAAAAGCCAACACGGAAAGATAAGATATGGTAAAACTGATTAAACAACATCTTGTAAAGGATGTTAATATTAACTGATGCCCGTGTGGTCAGAAATTACAGGCTCATACCCACATGAATTTAAAAAGCACATACTGATTTCAGTCTAACAGCTATATTAGACGTTAGAGGAAAAGAGGCCCATTAGGGCATTTAATTGAAACCCCTAACAGTACACGGATTACTCGCTAAAGTATTTTTCTAGTGTTTTGTCTAGTCACATTTTTTAAATTTCCATGCAATAAGAATTTTCTCCAGACATCATTCTGGCACAGCATTTTAGGTGCAGCCTCTGAGTTGTACACCACCATTTCCCTGCTCCCTGATGTACTGCCCCTGTTACTCCTCCCACTCCTAACCCATTTTCCCCTCCACCAAAAACCAAAACACGCTTTACAATAAAACTCAGCCGTCAGCAAAAGGACATATCATTCCATATGCCTACTTCAGAATTACTGCTATCCAGGTTTTTTCCTTCCCTTTGAATATATATGTTTCAGGCAGTTTTCCCCTACATGTATTACCTTAAGGTTTTCCCAAGCTAAAACTCAGACCAAGTTCATTGCTAGTGTAACTAAATTTAAGTCAGTGGAGTTACACCAGGGTGAGTTTAGGTTCCTTTAATTATTTTTCTGTCTTCACAATAGCTCTGAAATTTACAAAGTGCTACTAAATTAACTAAGGCGCTGTTTACTTCCCATTTCAGATTTTGAATAAAGACATTCAATCCCATGTTATTTAAACACCAACCAACTCCTTTGACACCCTTCGACACATTTGCTCCACCTCGCCCCAGTGCAATACCTTATTTATCATTAAAACTTTTTTTTGTGGTTCTTTGACCAATTTTTAGCAGATGCAACAGTGTTCATAGCCGAGACAATCTGAATTAACTGTGCAAGTAAAACAGATACTGCATCAAATGCTTTACTAAAAGCCATATACATATCTACTGCATTTCTTTTATCCACAAAG